GGCTAATAGGGGAGGCCCCTCACGTGTGGGGGTTTCGCGCGAGCGGGCCCATAAGCCGTGGCTTTCAACGGGCCCCCGTGAGAGAGGGCCCCGAGGACGTGCGTATCGCGCCGATTGTCGCGTCGAACCGTGCAAACGGCGGAACGCCGCGTGAACAATGCGGCACGTTTTTCTCCCATCTCGCGTTCTATCCTTTTTTTCCCTCGGGAGCCCGCGAGTCCCGAATCGACGCTCTCCAAAGGGGCGATTCCGTATCATCGGCGAGACTACTCATTCCTCGCATCGCCATCTCACGTGAGTTTGTCCACCCGATTCGGTATTCCCCGAGGGAAAATGTGAAATCCCTCGGCTCTCGAGAATAGTCTCCCGCGACCTAATAAACACAAAATAAGGTAATTCACGTTTTATACACGAAAAATCATCGGAAATAGGACGGTAGGAGTCAACATTAATCGTTTATCCACCGACTTTCTTTTTTTTTTCTACGTTAAATATACATTTCCAAGAAACGTCGATTTTACACGTTAATTTCGATGCGTGTACCACTAGCCGAGAAGAAACGTGTAATTTAACGTAACTTTTTAACGTTATTTGAGCGTATAGTAAACGATTATGAATAATTCTTTACGCACGAACGACGTGTATAAGAGACGTTCGTGTTACACTATTGAAACGATAGTTTAGTAAACGAAGAATAGATGTTATGTCTACGTTGTCGTGGAAAAGGTAGACATTGAACGGGTAAAACACGTTTTTCTGCAAAACACTTTATACGATTACCGTCAACAGTTTTATACCATTTCTCAACGTGCCTCCCACCACTTTGTGCTTATTGGGGAAGCATCTCACATTTCGATCGTAGTGAAAGGTACAGAATCTCGGATGGTGCACTTTTAGAATTTTCATCGGATTCGAGTTACAGGGACGACCCCTGGGTCACCGAGGACGAGCAAAGAGGCGACGATCTCACCACAAGGAACGGGGCTAAAAAGAGAGAGGAGATCGGCTCACTCTCTCGACGTGGTCGAGATTTCGTTCCACTTGGAACGGATATCTCATTCGGCACGAGAGGGTTTCTTGTGTCGGCGGAGAACGCGATCGCGGGTTATCGGGAATCGACTCGCTACGTCATCCGTATCGGCGGAGGGAGTCGCGGGATCGAGATCGCGAGATCGCAAGAAGCGAGCAGCTCGGCTCGGTTAAGCCGATACACTTCGACCGGACACTTTCGAAAGCTCCAACCTGGAAGCCAAGGAAGGCAGAGGAAGCGAGAGGAGAATAGCCCGGTGGAAAAAGAGGGACAAAGACCGAGAACGGGGGAGAAAACGGCCCGGGAAGGGGGGGAGGAGGAGGAAGGAGGGAAAGAGGAGCCGGTTGGCTTTGCAAGAAATTCCTGCAATTTAATGGGACCGTTTGATTGGTACTTGATGCCAGTCGCCGGCGGTAAGTACGCCGTGCACGTTTGTGCGGTGGAATTTATAAGAATCGCGATTCATATAAGAATTCCCTGCGGGCGGGTCGATTTAGGAATTTGAGCGATGCGGCCCTGAGTCCCCGGGGCGCTCTAACGAATGGGGCCCAATTTATCGCGTCCGGCGCGAAAACCGCTCGTCGTCGATGCCTGCTAGGCGCGAACGGAGATAAATAACCGGACAACGTAGGGAGGGGGTAGGACCCAGAGTTTCCGCGGGCCCGCCACCCGAGAGGGCCCAGAATTTCACGAAACGGGCCCAACCGAGGAGGGTCGACGGGCCCCGACGAGGGAAACACCGAGTTTCCTCCGAGAAGGGTCGCCGATTGGGATCTGGCGCGAGGGCCCGGGGCCCTAAGTCCCATAATTGACAGGTGACTCCTCGTCTCTTAAACGGGCCCCTTAATAACTGTGGGAGCACGCCGACTCACGACCGCTCATAGACGTTAAACGGATTTCAATAAGTCCCGGGAGCGGTGGGCGAGGGGCCCGTTGCGTCTCCTTCCTGCCGGCCGCCGAAACGGGCCCAATCGCGGTAGGCCCGGGCTCGTTAAAACCGGCCCCGAGTCGGCCGCCGATGTATCACGCCGCTGATCTCCCGGTGACATCTCCCCAAGGTGCGCCCTCGGGAACCCTGGATTTCCACTAATGGGATTTTAACTAACGATCGGGCCCCAGGATTCCTGGGCCCCTCGCCTCGTTAGGCCAGAGACTCATTCGGACGATCGATGGCCCATGAGCGCGATCCGCGACTCGGGCTCCCTTTTCTCCCTTTTTGGGTTTGGGGCCCCTGGACCCAGAAAATTCCACCGGACCCATTCACAGGCCCAGACCCATCCCCCCCTTTCTTTTTACGAACGAATGGAAAAACCTCGAAACTACCCACCCCATAATCCATCCTTTGTTCCGGTAGATTCTATCGCGGTTATCGTAAGGCCCCGAGCGCAGCTCCAGGAAGTACCTCGAGAGAAGTTCGTTCGTACCGTTTTCATGAAAATTTCATGGGGCATTTCATCGTCGCGGCTCTTGATCCGAACTGGCCCTGACCCGGCAGGAAGGGGGGTGGGGGGGGGGGTTGGGTTCGGGCCCAAACCATGCCGCGAATTAATTAATGGCCGCCGAGATATCGCAAGGGGTATGACGACTGGGGGAGCCGTGAGTGTCCCCCCTTCGTTCCCGCGTTGCTCCGGTTTTGTTAACATTAATTAACCGGACCGCTCCCCCCACTTTTCAGGCCCAGCGTTAAATTCCCGCCGGCGTGTTGGTGTACGCCGCCGACCGCACACACCGAGGGCCCTACAATCCCCGTCTCCCCATCCCTCCCTCCCTCCACCACCAACTTCGGCCGTAATCGTCCCTTCGATTTTAAAGCCTGCCGAGAGTCGGGATTAACCGATCCGGAGCGAGCAGCCATGGAGAGGAATAACGGACCCATTTCTCCCTCCCCTTTCCTCCCTCCCACCGTGCTCTCCGAATCCCGGGATTCCTCCGATATCCCGGTTTCCGCAAACCGCGAGACCGACCCCCGAATCGGCGATAATCGAGGGCGATCCTTCCTGGCTTCCTCGCAACAGGTTTAACAGGACCACCTCGATCCTGGCGAAGTCCTGGAGGAATCCGAATAAGCGATAAAAAGGAAATTAACGAAGTTGGGGGGGGGTCGATATCAGCGGGCATCATCGAGGATCTTGGGGCCCGTCCGCGAGGGGATCAGCCCGGAGGGTCCGAGGAGGACATCGGAAACCGATTGGCCAAAAATACAACTATTATTAATCCGAGCCAGTCCAGGTAGTCGGAGGAGCAGGCGGTCGGCGGGGTACGAGGACAGGGAGGGAGGAGGGGGGCAGGCGAACAGCCCAAGACAGGGAAGACGGCAGCACAGGTGGAATCTGGTACCTGGCTCTCTCGGCGAGACGGAGGCGCACACCTAGACACCCTCGCGTGCGCGTCAGTGCAGTCGTTTCAGGAGAGGAGACGCACAAGGAAGGGGGGGAAGGGGGAGGGACGCGCTCGCGCGCGCGTCAAGCCGGGGCCCCCTCGGTGTGTCCGTAATAACGCGCTCGCATATCGGAGCGCACCCTACGCCGAGCACGCGGGGGGGCCCGACGGGCCCCTCGGTGGACCGTACGTACACACGGCCGGCCGCGGTAATAAGAGAAAATAAGTAAAACCCTAAGGTACGGGCCGAAGGGGGGGCCTAGGGTGGCGGGAGGGGGAGGTGAACCTGTTCCCGAGGGAGTTCCTTGACCCTCGGGCCCTCTCGTGCTCGCGAGACGAAGCCCCGGAGTAGCCGGCGCGCGATGCCCGCTGGCTAGCGCGAGGCCCCTCGCGAGAGAGAGGGCCCGAGTGGGGGGCGCGCGCGGGCGAGAGAGAGGACCGGCGCAGCGCCCGGGGCCGCTGCAGCGCGCAGCATCCCACCACCGCCGGCCGCGACCGGCCCGGCCGTCCGTCCGTCCGTCCGCCTGTCGGCCCGCTCGGCCCTGGCGCGCCGGTACGCCACGCCGGGAGGATAGGCGAGCGCGCCGGCGCACGCCGCGCGGCTACGGGCACTTCCAGCCGGAGTGGAACCGCGGCCATCCTAACGGGCCCGCGCAGGCGCGACCGGTTGGCGCGTTTCGGCGGACCGGTCCCACCGGATCGGGGTGACCGAGAGAGACCGCCGGCGAGCCCCGGGGGTGGCGCGCGACACGGGGGCGCGCTCCATTATTCATCCCGGGGAATATGCAATTTCGAACGGGCCCACCTCCGAGGCGTCCCCCTCGATTTTCGGGACGCCCCGAGGTGGGGCCCGCCGCGGAAGGAACGGAAGCCAGGGGCCCGGGGCGACCCTGGACGAGCGAGTCCCGGGGAGGGAGAGAGAGGGGGGGCCGGGCTCGGCGCCGAAGGTGAGAATCCTCGACTCTCGAGCGCCAGCGCTCTCGTGACGAAACCGATCGTAAGATAGGCCAGCATCCACCGGGCGCAAGTGTACGTCGCGCAGTGCCTTATAGAAAGGCGAGAGAGCATAGCCCGTAGCTATAGGCCTCTCTCCTGGGTCGTCCCTCTCTCTCGCTGCGCGGTACCCTCTTTCTCGCTCGCTCACCCGGAGAGGCACGCACACCTGCTCGCCGGTCGGTCGAGGCGGGAGAGGGGGACGGGTGTCCGCGTGTGTGCGCCCGCGCGCGGGCGCGCACACGTGGGAGGAAGAGCCGTGGGCAAGGGGTGGTGGGAGCGCGCTCGGGTCTCCCAGCCGGAGGGGGGAGGACGGGACGGCCGGCGGGTGGGGGGAGGCCCGCAGGCCGGCCCGCGGCTCCGACTCAGTATCCCCCGAGCAACCGACTCGCGCACCCCGCGGACTCGACCGCCCGCATCGCGACGGCTGCGCGTTCGACTGGCCCCCGAGAGCCGCCCTGCCAGAAGGGACCCCCGAAGGACTTCCGCGAGTGTCCCCCTCCTTCTCTTCCGCGATGTGCAGTGAGCGGCGAGCACGCTAAGTGGAGCCCGTGGGAGAGCCCGGCGATTTTACGCGCACACGAGCGCCGGCCTCGTCTCGACCGGTGTCGACGCTCGCGAGTCGCGACACCCTGAGGACCCTCAGGCCCGGTGACCGCGGTCCCCGAGCGCGCGTCCCGGGAGGATTCCCCCGGAACACCCCCCGCCCCCCAAGGGGCGGCGGCGACCCAGGCGACGTTATGCCCGGCGCGGTCGCGAGGGACGGCCGCGCTTCGAGGACGACCCCCACCTGGCGGCGACCCTCGTCCCCGAGAGGGACTCTACCGAACTCCGGGCACACCCGGGAGCGCGCCCCCCCTGCCCCCCGCGGTCGACTGCCGGTCCAATAGGGCGCGACCCCCTGCGCCGCCGAGCAGGGCCCTCGGCGCGCGCCCAGTGCGCTGTCGATTCTCGGCCGGGACCCGCTCAGGGCCTCTGCAGCCCTCGGCCCCGAGTCCACCCCCGTGAACCAGGATTTACAGTGCAGTGCCAGCGACCACTTCGGGCGCTGCCCCCGCTCGGACCACCGGCGTACCCTGCTGCACCCCACCCGAGGGACCGCCTCGCGAGCGGTGATGCGGTAGTCGAGGGAGCCCCGAGGGAAGCCATGAGGGCGGCCGCCGCGTTCCTCCTTTTCCTCGCACAGCTCATTCAGGTACTGTCTTCGAGACGCCTTCATCTCGGCCACCCGGGCCCGCCCACGCGCTCCCTCTGGATCCGGCCGACGCTCCTCGCCACGTGGGAATGACTCCACGAGGCGCCCTCCGGCGGTTTGACGGCCACCCCTTTCGCATCCGTCGAATATCGGTTGTATAGCATGGTATACGTATACATACCCGCGTATCTATGCCGGTACTCGTCTGAAATTTCCGAAATAGGGAAACTCTTGGAACGGATGAACTTTCGGAAACTTCTGAATCCCCTAAATCATCTAATTCAACCGAGACGTCAAAAACATGCGAGAATTCGGGAACTTCTGAAACTTGTTAATTATCTAAAACGTCTGAATCGTTTGAAACGGCTAGAACGTCTAATAGCGCCGAAACGCCTGAAATGCTGGAAACTTGTAACTCGTCTAATTCGACGGAGACGTCTAAGCCATTCAAGAGGTCTGAATCATCCCAAACGCGTTAATAGTCTAAAACGTCTGAATCGCTTCAAACGGCTGAAATGATCTTAAAGTTCTAAATCGTCAAATTCTTCCAATCGTCTAATTCGACTGAAAGGTCTAAGACATTCAAGAAGTCTGAATCATCTCAAACACGTTAACTGTCTAAAACGTTTACATCGTTTCAAACAGCTTAAACTGCTGAAACGTCTGAAAAATCGTCCAAATCATCTAAATCATTCTAATTCGACCAAAACGTCTGAATGATTTGAGAGGTCCGAATTCATGCGAAGCACTAATTATCTAAAACTGTCTGAATTGTCTGAAAACGCTGAAACGGCTGGAACGTCTATCTCGCCTTGCTCGCAGCCTCCCACGCGTGACGTAACGCAGCCCGTAAGGTGCACGGAGGCGCGGAAGGTGTTCTCAGCGAAGAAAGGCCGCGATCGGCGTACCTCCCCGGCCGATCGTTCCCCGCCGTGGACCGAGCCCTGACGGCGTTCCGTAATGTGCGGCTCGGGTGCATTCTCGGCGACGCACGCAGCGACGCTTTCGCGCGTGGCTCGCTCTCTTCCTGGTGAGAGGTCGCCGCGGACGCGCGAGCGCCGAACGTCTCCCGAGACGCGCACCTACACGCGCCCTCCCTCCGTACACCTGTGCACCGCTCCCGTGTACCACCGGCTCGCAAGTAACGATGCGCTCCGATCGTGACCGCTGCTTTGTCTCGACACTCGATCCTCCGTCCTCCTTTGCGATTCCCCGTAGAGGGGCTGATACGTTTCGGTCGCTCCACGTGGAAAAGGAAAGACATTTGCACATTTAGCAAAGGATAGCATTGCCGATAAAGTTTAGCCTTTACTGCGGGAACAATCGTACCGACGACAAAAATGCTTGCAATTACATCGAATCGTAGATGTATCCGTTGGGGAGCTCTCTATAGAAGTGCTTACTAAACTTGCAAATGAATTTGTTGCAACGGCCTGAAAAATATTGTCATCGTTGAAACGAACGAGCGATGTAGGATCTGTTGTCGCTAGGATAGAATATTGCAACTGGGAATGGGATTTGCGTTGTCCCGGTGAAGTAATCGGTTTGTTCTCTCTTGTCGGCATAACAAAAGTGTTTCTAGACGTATATGTTGATGGTCCACGTTTGTTGCGACGAGTAAAGATCGAAGAGTAGGGATCGTTCGGAAAAAGAATTCATCGAACCGGAGGTACATTTTTTTGAATTGTGTGAAAGAGATGTTTAGTTAGTTCGGGGAGTAATTATTTTACATAAATGAATGGAATGGAATTGACGCAACGTTTCTTCGGAATTCAGACTATTTGGATGAGTATATGGGTCGAATTATTTTTTGGATTAACGAAATGGTTCTTCGATACTCGTAAAAGAAGTTTTTCTTTGGTTCAATGAATTCTTGTCTTCTGAGTGTATATGATTGCGTCACTCTGGAAAAAATAAGATCTCATTGAACCGAAAGACGTTAATCGTGGAGAATCGATCTAAACAAGGCGATCAGCGTTTTGATTCCATATTGTCAGGGAATGTTTGAGAGATCGTCGTGTTTCTTACGGGGGCGGCCATTTTGTCGGGGATAACGCACCTCGTAACTCGGCGCGTCGTTCGAGGGCTGCGCGCGCAGCCTCCAAGCGTGTTGACGTTTGTCTTTCTCGGCGAGATGTAAAATGCTAGATTTTGCCGCCCGGGTGGATAGAACTCATTTTTCATTTACCAAGGGTTCCTTTCGTCTCCTCTTCGAACTGACAGGATCGTCCCGACCGAGAGGTTATTCACTCTGAAAATGATGAACTTTTAATACTCGAAATCACGTGGGAATCAGCTGAAAATCGTTGGAAAGCACCGAAACGTTGTCACAATTTTACGGCTGATCGTCACTTACTACCAAATCGCCGATTATGGTATAAAATCACAGACAATTCACTGCCAGAGAAAGAAATCATGGATTTTACTTTTCGAAATCACGTGGAGATAAGCTGACAAACGTTGAGAAGCACCGAAACATCGTCGCAATTTTAAGGTTGAAAGTCACCCGTTGTTTATTATATAAAATCATGGTAATCGGTTCTGAAAGAAGGAAATCGTTTTCATTGATATCCGAGTGAACAGCCCCTTGGTCTCGACCTCTTGCGGCAAGGATCAGCTTCCGGGAGCTCGTTGGGGAACTTTTTTTTCCTGATCGGCTCCTGGCGGCGCATGGGACTCTCTCTGAACGGTGAACGCGATTCCGCGTGACGAGTCGCCATTAAGTCGCCTTTAATGTCGCGGCGATCGCCGCCCGGAAGGGGCGTCTCGGTGGAGGCTTTCGGGGAGTATCCGCCCCAGGCAGCTCTCGAGATATTCGAAGCAGGTCGGCGATAAAGGCATTTTAATTTCTGCTGGTCCGGGGAACCGTTATAACGTCCCGTGGACGCCTCGAAGATGGACGCTCGTTTCGCCACTTCCTGACTCAGATTTCTAGGGACGCTCCCAGGCGTCACTTCTCCAAGGAGATATCCTGAGGACATCCACCCTCTGGGTACGACGTCGATGAGGTTCATTGCGGGAAAAAAAAAAGAAATTACTTCTGCGTTCTTCTCGGCCGAACTTTCACCGATCAACAGGTGAATGCACCTGCACTTCCCGATTCTCGAGTTCGTACGGATACTTTTTTTTTTTTCATACGAATAAATTAGCATGAAGAATTTTGCGTTGTTGCGAACTGACGTCATTGATCAACGTTTGAAAATCGTGTACGAAACTGTCAATTTCGCATACGAAAGTCGATCGTATGAATTCGACAATCGGGGCTCCTATTCTCGAGGTCATACGGATTTTTTTCTTTCGCATACGAATAAAGTCGCATGAAGAATTTTGCGTAATTGCCAAGTCGCGTCATTGATCAGCATTTGAAAGTCGTATGCGAAACTGTTCATCTCGCATGCGAAGGGTGACCGTTCGAATTCTTACGTATTTTCCTTTTTTCTTTCGCGCACTAATAGATTCGCATGAAAAATTTTGCATTGTTGCGAAGTCGTGTAATTGGTCAGCGTTTGCAAGCTGTATACGAAGCTGTCAATTTCGCGTGCGAAAGTTGATGGTACGAACTGGAGAATCGAGTCCTTGTTAGCGACTTCCCTCGTTGGTCATTCGGCGATCGCGACGGAATGGCCGTTAAACCGCGACCTGGAAGACGTCCCAACCTGGCTAACGGAGTGAAAAGCGCTCGTAAAGAGCCCGACCCTCTCTCCAGAAAACGCGAGGCCCGATTATCAGCGTTTTTGCAGCGGACGGAGCCATCGCGTTCCGTCGATCGATCGCGCGTTTCGCTCGCGAACCCGAGCAAATCGGCCTCGAATCTCGACAGAGAGTGCCCCGCGTGGAAACCGACCTCGATTTTTATGGTGAGAAAATCTCGCCTGCCTGGATATTAATTCACTGGCTGATACCAACAACGAGAAAAAAAATAAAATAAAATTCATGGAGCCAAAGAAATATTTCCTCGAACGGTACCGAAAGAAATATTTTCATAACTCGGAGGATGATTACTTGACTCGAATAAATCGGATGCAATATTAATTCGGAATGAATTCATTATTCTTTGAATTGGCGACATATTTCCTTGGTTCAATCAGTTGTTCTTTGTCTCTCAGGGTAGGTTCCATAATTGAGCTGTCCAGAATTTTTCCTGAATTTTCCGGTTATTAATCCACCATGCTCCCTTAATTATCCCTCGATGTGATTCCCCTCCCCCCCGATGCCAGGACGCGATTTCTTGTCTCGGAATCGCTCCTCTCTTCACGCCAATAAGAACTGTCGCGAATCGACAGGAAGCGTGGGGTACCTCGGCGAGGAACAATGAGAGCGCGTTCGAGTCCCTTTCTAATTACGGCACGAATTGAGCCAGTTTGTGGGTAAACAGGGGTGTAATCGAATTACACGCTTTTTCGGTCTATCTGGGAGCGGTGATTGTATTATCGCGAGCTTTAGTTTTCCTGGTGTCGGTCCGTCGACGGAAGTGGGGTGGGGGCGGCGTAGAAGGTAAATAAAGAGGAGGAGGAGGTCCCCGTGGTTCGCCGGCGATAATCGGAGGTTGTTAGCCCCCGCGGGGTCCGCGGAGATCTTCGGCCACCGCCTCGTCGGAGGGGAGCGAAAGGGGGGAGGGGGATATCGTGCCGTGAATTGGGCCCTCCGTGCGCCGGGGGGCAGGGGAGAGGGGGTCGCGGAGTACGGGCCCCTCAGGAGGTAGCGTAGCCGGGCGGGTTAAAGCGAAGCGTTTAGCCTGGCGGTCACGCGAGCCCCCCGTAAAAATCCGGGCCCCAGGCTTTCTTGCCAGCTCTCCCCTGCCGGGCCCCCCGCGAGCGCCCCGGGCCCCGCTGTTCCACGCAGGAGCGCGAGCGAGCGACGCGGTCCCATGGACCGGCGGAGCCCATGGGGCCCGTCAGTCCCCTGGGGCCCATAAGACCACTGAGGCCCCCGGGCCTAGAGGGCCCGCGCACAGGTGCGTGCCCGCCAGGTCCACCGCTCTCAGGGGGGGTGGGGGGTAG